GGATTGGTAATTAACGATAATATATTTATTTTTGTTGTGTAGAAGAAGAGAAGTAAATCGTCATCATTTTCATCTTAATTTGCATTTTTATACAAGCTTTGCTCACATTGGAAGCGACAGTAGCCTAATCCTTTAGGTCCCAACCAGGATTCGAACGCAAGACCACGTGAATAGCAGTTGCGTTTACTTCCACTAGAATGTTTACGTAAAAGCAATGCTACATGGAAAATTATTTTGCCTACAATGTAGACAAAGTAAATTATACGGTCTGCCGCACTATTGAAAGGAATAATTATCGAGGCCAGGCATCTACCTGGTCACGACCAATTAAGTGACGCGACACGTTACGAGGGTTATTTCATGAAAAATCCGTTGAATTATATAGATTATGTTGGTCGTTAATAGCAAAGCAAAATTCAACATTCGTGCTTGGTTTGAAGATTTGCAGGTTTAGCCAAGTAGACTTTCTAATGCTGTTAACGCTTATGGAAAACTATAATAATTAGAATTTAAAAATCCAAAACAAAACTCATTGATGCTTGTTTTTTACAATACGCATTGATGTTGAATAAGCTATTAGGAATGAGGTTTCTAATAAGAGTACCAAGCCATAGTCATGAAATTTTTGTATTTTCACAGGTTCTCACTACGTTAGGAAAAATTTAGATCATTCAGATGTCTGAGTTCAACACTCGAAAAGACTGAATTCAAAAATTCCACTAAATATCCAAACATACATATAATAAAAGCGTATATAAGATTGGAATGACATGTCTCAACGAACTGGGGACAACGGAATGGGAATGGCCTAAGGTCGTCTTGTAGTATAGTAAGTAGGTACGTAAGAAAACGTTACCGCAGTCAGCGTAATTGTCAAGCTAATGAGTAATAAAGCGAGGAGAATTTTAGGAAAAACAACGTATGTCTAACGTTGAAGCTGTCTCTGCGATCACTATCTGAGGAGACAGTTAGCGCTTGATCTGTTGAACTCTATTTATTTTTCAATTTTATAACATAATGTTGTTTTTGCACCAATATTACATTTTGATAGATTTACAAAGGTTCAATGAAATTGAAAGTACTTTAAAATCACAATAAAGTTTTTTTTTCCTTTTATAGTTAACTTCGATAATACAGAAGCTGTCATCTACGCAGGATATGTTAAAATTGGATTATTTTTTTTAGTCTTTATTTATTATAGAGGGTTAGATCTACTAGATCAAGTCACCCTCATAGATACACAATCAAACACATAATCAGACAATGATAAATTCACGTAAACAAAAGATTACCTGTTCTTCTGTTCCTGTATAATACAAGTTTATAAAGTTTCCTAGCTTTATCCGACAATGGAAAAGCTAGGATACTATTATATAGTCCAACACTATTTTTGTCAAAACCTAATTGCTTCCTGTATGCTTCGTTCCGTTCACATTCCATCATAATGTGAATAACATCTTCTACAACTCCACATTTGTCACAATTTGGTGAATTCACTTTTCTCATTATAAACGCAAATTTGTTTAATGGTACATGTCCGGAACGAAGCCTCATTGCTGTAATAATTTCTTGCCTTCCCATATTGCATCCTTCAAACCAAAGAAAGTGGGAACGATGCGGTTGTATCGTCTTTACCAAATACCTTTTGACAGTGACCTTTCATCAAAGTATTCGGACCACTTTTCTGTGCAGTTTTCACGAACTTTGGATAGGAGTTCAGAGAAATAAGGTAAACAGTTGAAATTCTCCCCATCACTTATCGCCTCTTCAGCAAGAACGTCTTCTGCCTCATTTCCCTCTAAGCCAATATGGAAAGGCACCCATTGTAAGACAATGCTTTTGTTGTTAGATTTTAACGTTACAATATTACTTAATATGTCGTAGCCGGTAATGGGAATTGTATTTATGTTTAGGCGCATTTACAAATTCTATTTGAGAGATTATTGAATCGGACAAATCCAACTTGCTAATCCACGAATTGAGTGAAAACATTTCTAAGTGAGGACTTGAAAACATACGAGTTTCTTTAAATAAGCTATAGATTGTAACTAGCAGTGGGGTTTTTCTACGTCGCCAATAAAAGCTTTCTTTAAGTTCATCAAGAATACATAATAAATTTGTCACAATATTTTCATCAATAGACCTACACTTTAACCAAAATTTACCAGCTAAATACCTTCTCCGAATAAATAATGGCTGTAAAAGCAGTTCCGCTTCCATTACATGGATAGGAGTGCTCTTGACAAACCCACCAATTAACCGCATACACTGATTTTGTATTACGTCTAATTTTATTAGATGTGTTTTATGACTATTATCAAATAAAAATCTGGCATAATCCAATCTACTCCGTATAATAGCTATATATAAGCGACGTAGCTGAACTGGGTGTACTCCCCAACCTGGTCCTATAAAAACTTTCAAAATATTTACAAACTTAATGGATTTCTCCTTTATTTCATTTATGTGCTTGTTCCATTGAAGAGATCGATCTAACCATAACCCTAAATATTTAATGCTTTCAACGATTTTAAGGCTTCTCTTGTTAACCGTTATATGTATGCATTCCCTTACGCGTCCAATCTTAAATATACATACTTTACTTTTCGATGAAGATAATTCTAGGCCTAACGTAAAAAATAAACTAGTAAGAGTATTCAGAGCTGACTGTATATCAATAACTCCGTTACTGATACTATCGCAATTGTTATATATAACAAAATCATCCGCATATTGAGAGATATAAACATTCTTGACGGTTTTACATACATTAAGAGTAGCTATATTAAACAAAATAGGAGATAATGGATCTCCTTGGGCTAGACCTTGCCCCGTAAATCTACTGATAAACTCGTTATCCACATACATTTTGAGATGTCGTTCATTAAGGAAACTACTAAGATATTGACAATTTTTTTCCTACATTTTGTTGGTCTAAAGTGTACAGTAATGCATTTGTGTCAACCTTATTAAACCTTATTAAACGCGTTGTCTAAATCTAAGAAACATCCTATCGTGGACTGATTATCGGAAAACCCTATTTGTATACTTGATACCAAACTACTAAGACTATCTAAGCAGGATCGGCTTCTCCTAAAACCGAACGTATTAGAAGAAAAGACTTTGTTTTTTTTTCCAGAAACCAATCTAGTCTCCCTTTAATAATTGAATGAAAGATTTTGCAAAACATTGCATAAGCAAGACATAAGTGATATCGGGCGCAAGGACGATACATCATTAATGTCTCTTCCAGGCTTTGGGATTGCTATAATACCAATATCTCGCCATTGTGATGGTACAAAACTGTTGTTAAGAAAAGCATTATACAGCTTGATTAAAATGCATTTGCACTTAAACGGAAGGTGTTTCAACATTGAATATGCTATGCCATCGCATCCTGGTGATTTATACTTTAATTTAATACATGTGTGAGCTCCTGAATCGAGACCTCTTCTATTATATATCTAGTAACATGTTACTAGAACTGAAACTAGCCTGTTCCGGTGAAACAAAATCTCGCATTAGACTGTGAAGAAGTATTTCTGCTTTTTCTTTGTCTATATGGTGGGTATTATGTGACCTAAAACCTTTCATCCATCTCATCTTATTACACATATCTCTAGTGGTTATTTTTTCATTTACCGAATCACAAAACCTCTGCCAATTAAGTAATTTAGCCTGATGAATTCACCTCTGTGTGTCTCTGATTTTTTCTTGGAGTAGAGATAAGTTCTGAGGTGTTGAGTTACGTCTAAACCTAGCCAGTGCTTGTCCACGAATAGCTACCGATTTCGATAATTCTACGTCCCAGTAAGACTTCGGTACAAATTTAGACTCTGGGTTTTGATTTATTTATATAAAAGGGATATGAATATCAGCTGCTAAATTTAAATATTTCATAAATATATTGTAACATTTTTGAAGGTCGGTTGTGTGTATTGGGAACTCATCAAAAAGTGTTTCAAGAGTACTCTTATATCCATCCCAGTTTGCTTTTTTAAAATTTCTTTTGAGATCACACTCTAACCGCTTTTGACATAAACCTGATATTTTAATCATAAGATGATCACTACCTAAAGTCTCTCGAAGTCCCTCCAATTAAATTTATGGACGATATCCGACGTCATAAGCGATAGATCGGGAGATGACGCTTGTAAGACTCTGTTCACGAATCTTATTCGAGTGCTTTCTCCATTATTTAATATAGCAAAGTTAGTATCTAAAAGCGCGTCAAATATTTGTGAACCCCTGTTATCAGTCTTGTACGACCAGCTTGAGTGGTGAGCGTTGAAATCCCCAATGATTACGGTTTTACAACTAAATTTAGAAAATATTTCATCCCAATTTCTTTGGCAAGTGCGCACTGACGATGGACAATAGATAGAAACGATATTCTCTAAATCCCGACAGTTAAATTTTTTTATATAAATAACTTCTATACCATCATTACTTAGTTGTAAATGCCCCTTAACCGTTTTAAGAGATTTGTGCGCTAAACAGCAACACCCCCATAAGAGTCATCTCTATCATTACGGTAAATATAATAATCTTTGATTTTAATATAAGTTTCAGAGTTTAACCAAGTTTCGCTTAAGGCTACGATATGCATTTTTCCAGAGTTAATAAAGGCTCTAAGGACATTAGTTTAGGCTTAACACTTTGAGCATTCCACTGTAAGGTATTAAGATTTACTATTTTATAGTTAAGGTGTTTATCCATTAAATAAGTTTAAAACGGTTTTCAACATTGGCCATTCCGAGATATTATCCACAGTTACCAAAATTAACCACTCAACACATAACTTTATCACTTTGTAAACTTTCTCTTGCAAACTAAAATTATTAAAAAATATTACTTCCTTTAACCTCAATAGCTCAGTAGCTCACTGAAAGATATTTTATTAGAAGATTCGTTGTTATTTGCCTCACTATAGCTAGTAATAGGTTCAAATCTATTACTTTGTAATGACGTGTCACGCTCTGTACTTCTTTTATCCTTTTTTATTTGGCGCCGGCGGGGCGACGATACCTTACTTTCACGTTAATAATATTGTCTTCGTTATGCAATATGCTATTGGCCGTTACTTCTGCAAAAGTAGGAACATTTTGGACTTTAGCCGCTTTCCTCTTCGGTGTATTATAATTACACTCCTGCTGGATGCTATCTTGTTCTATAAATTTTAGGTTCATTTGTCTATGTGGTGTTGGCGCAACATAGATTGTCAAAGCCCTTCTGTATGTGCAATTAAACTCGGCCATAAGTTCTCGCAACCTTCTTTCTTTAAGGTAATCAGGGCAAGTCCTAGCTAAAGTCATGTGACTTCCAGAACAATTGACACATTTGAATGTTTTAGTGTCACAATTCTCGTGTTCTTCCCCACATTTCGGGCATATTGTTTTCTTAAATGGACATAAGTTGCGAATGTGACCCAACCTCCAAAATTGTGAGCATTGTGAAACGGGATAAACATTTGGCTGAACAGTTATTTTCAAAAGTAGAGAGGACCCTTTAAAACAAAGCCGTATGGTTTCACTTGGACACCAACCTTCTTGTTTCGTGTAACTTCGTCGCTTAAGCCTTTTAACGGATATTAATTCTGTAGAATCTGGGCATGATATATTTTTCATAATTTCTTCTTCAGATATTTCTAACTCCACGTCTCTTATAATTCCGTAAGAGTAGTTAACCTATATTGCCTTTTGAATTCTCCATCCCATAGAAATGAATGTCGCACAGGTACTTAATTTTTGAACATTTTCCTCATTAAATTTCCTCAGAAAATTGCAACCTTACTTTAAATGGGTTTAAGTATTTCACTCTAATTATATCAGTAATTCCATTTTATTTGATTAACCGTGCCAAAGCAAATTGCTTGCATGCAAAGAATTAATTGCATGCAATGTATACCTCGATATCTGTTTCTGTACTTAAGCTCTCATCCTCGTGCATTCGTTTTTTCTTCCCCTTTCCCTTCAAAAACCTCCACTCGTCATCACTCTCCCCAGTTTCTATGATTCTTTTAATAATCCTAGGCGTATTTTTACCAATACTATCCCGCTCTTCTACTTCTAATTCTGCAATATCGTCTTCGCTATACATAATATTATTGTTGAATTCTTCATTCTCGTCCGTCATTTTGCGTATACCCGCAAGTACCACTGAGTAAGCTTGCGCGTAAGCACGCCGCGCGGCCCTACCCACACGCATATAGTAAGCAATAACAAGCAACGTACGTAAACACTAACGATGCGCGTGAACGCGTGATACTCCCTTGACGCCAGACGCGAGACTGTTCAATTGGATTTACAAAAGGCCTATTAGGCTACCGTCTTTGGAGCCCAGGTCCCTTAAATGTCCAGCGGTTTTAGAACAAAAATTAATGATATCCGAGTTTAGATGATGATTATCTGATTTTTGATCTCCAAGCAACTCTAGCCGAGCTTTAGCCGAACCGGCCTACATTATAAGTCTGAACTTTTATTATCAAAAATTTTGTGCTGTTACTGGAAACTTATATTATCAGCCATACTGAGTGAATACTAAATTTCTTTCTTTCTTCCTTTCTTTCTAAACAGGAAGTTGGATAAAGGAAGGAATCCTGAAAAATTGAGGAGCCTTATGATCGCATTGTCAATTAGATGAGTTGTGTTAATTTATGATTTATTATATTTACGCCATTAAAAAGAAGTTAAAGTTACAGCCTATATACGTCCTGGACTCAGGCCTCCCCTCATTTCTGAGAGGGTTTTAGGGCAAGGAACGCTGCCCCAATGCGTGTTGGCGAGCTTCACATGTCTTCGAAATATTTTTTTTTCTTATTACTCGGACATGCAGGTTTCCTCACGATATTTCCCTTCAACGCCGAGCACGTAGTTAACGCCATTACTACACATTAAATGAAACAAATTTTATGGATTTTATCGCATTTAATTTTGATTTTTTAATTCCCGACGTTTCGGTTGCTTTTGTGTCGGGAGCTTGTTTAATTAATAAAGTATGTTGTTAATAATTAGCGAAATTGGACAATTTTCGTTATATTAAATTAATTAATGGCCATAATGACAAATCTTTAATCGTGTAGTGGCGGTGCTGGTTATTACCCTCACTAGTTGTAGGGAGGATTTGTCTAAATCGCCACGCTTGGCATGCGGCTGACGCTTGCAGTACAAAACCTGAGCAGTCTGTGAACACGTACAGGAACGCCCCCCGTCACTACATCAGATTTGATAGACCGCAAATCCTCGCTAAAGAACACCGATTCCTTCCAAGGATGATTCGCGAGGCTATTGAAATCAAAAAACATCCTAATTTCAATAGAGAAGATGGCTGGGTGCTACCATCTGCTTGGGATCCGATAATAAATAAAATTAAATCCCAACCCAAGCATACAACTGCAAGACTTCAAGATACCATAAGTTCATACTGCGTAGATCGGAACAAAAGTTAAATTTTAATCTATGGTAACCGCGGTTAACTATGACATATGGACGTTGAACATTTCAGTCCCGCCCGTGACCATGAGTGCTGTAAAGCATTCGAAACGTCGGGTATTTAAAAAGTTAAATATACGCGATAAATTCCGTAAAAACTAGTATTATTTCAAAACCTGAGCACTTTTGACGCTGCTGCCTGTAGCTGGTCTGGAAGTTCTTGCTTTGCCGTGTATTGACAACGTAAGATAATTTATCACTCGATTTCATCCCGTGTGTGTCGCAAGAGACGACTGTGATAAAAAGAGACAGACAGCGGTATAATCATCTTGTTTACCGTATTATTTGCCCAATTCATTTCTTTGTTCGATTATCGGTACATCTATTGGTTATTTAGTTAGTTTGTATGATCGACAAACTAACGTAATGTGTTTATCCAGATAAGTTTTTTTACAGGTCTTCGACTGTTAAAAGTACCATTAACTCAATAAAAAATCATATCAAAAGTATCAATTCTGCGCGAACGAGGTCGCGAGCACAGCCAGTTATATATAACAGACAAGTACGTATCAGTACTAAATTAATTTTAAATTAACAAGAATACCATTGGATTATATTTCTAATTTAGTTTGAAAAGGGAGATTAGGATACAAATTTAGTGAAATCGTAACTACGAGTATATTTTTGAAAAGCAATATTTGTGAAAACAGAATTGAGGATGAATTTTTTGCAATAAAACCGTTCAGATAGCTTTAAGAGATATTATGCTAGTTTAAAACTACTTTAAAAAATATAAGGTAACTCTGTGCCATTTTTATCTTATATGAATTATAGTGACAAAGAGCACGTCTACGAACAGCGCAATATAATACTCAAAATAAATACTCGCAAGTAATTACCTGTCACCCTCATTCTACAAAAAATCTAAGTAAGCTCAAAATGCATATTAATTTTTGATTATATTGATGAAAATGTAGTAGTAAATCTTCGTTTTTAGTAAAATCCTTTTTGCTGGTTATTATTTAGTCAAGGTACTTCTTAAAATATAAGGACTTACAATTCGTCTGAATATATATTATAATGAATTTATTTTTTATATTCGGGCATAATTTATATAACTTATAAGCCGAATATATTAATTCTTGTATTTTATGTTATAAGGGTTATTTTATTTTTAGAAAACTAAATTTTCTAAATAATTGAACTGGTGTGTAGGAGTAGGAGTATGTGTCATTTTGTCCGCGAATTAAAGTATTGCTGACCACTAATTAATTAATTTAGTATCGCGCGAGTACGGTTTACACAGTGTGTCTTATTGCATCCATATAGAACGCAATTCTTACGCAGGCGGCTATTGAACTCAATGAGATGAGAACAATAGGTATACATAGGATAACAATCAAATATCCACAAACCACACCCCCCCTGTGAGCAAAAAACCCCAACCCCCCCCCCCCCGGATAATTAATCAATTTTTTTTTTTTTTGTTATCTAACACACACCAAAAACCCAAAACAAAGAGTGTCTCGAGTGATCCTCTTGGTGGACCTTGACGGACAAAGACATGAGTCGAAATTCGGAAGTCTTTGGGCTAATAAAACATTTGACTGGAATTACCATGCCAAGATGTAGTTTGTGGAGTAAGTCTGCTGACGTGTGCACGTAGTTGACTAGCCACGGTGGTCGCGTTCGTCTCCATATTGGAACTTGAGGAAAATAACTGTTCAGGTAAACAGAGCGGTTCACTGCAGACAAATGTTGCTGCATATGCTCTTTCCAAGCGCTGCGGATACCAAGGAGGACCCATGAAAGAGCTTTCACCCAGTTTGAAGACGAGTGGAACGTGATGGCAGACTTCAGTTGGGAGTGCAGTTGTTTCAGGGTGATAAGATGGGGCAGTATGATGTAATGCACTAATCAACGTGTAAAAGTAAGTCAATGACAATATTGTCCTTTCCGGCGATATATCTGTGTTAAACCGGCTGATAAAGTTAAGGTAGCTAAACTGACGTGGCGAGCAAATCACTCGGTGCGTTGTAAAAGTAAACGTCAGTGACTTGTATACGGAAGTATTTGGTAATTTCGTAGATGGAAAGAAGTTCGCGATCATAAGGGCTATACTTGCTTTGGCTAGGAGCTTCTTGGAAAATAATGCCCTTGGTTTTCATTCACCGTTCTGGTATTACTGCATAACTGCCTCTATTGCTGAATCTGAAGCGACAGTGTGGATCGCCATCACTGCTTGCGAGTCAGGATTTACCAATAATGTGGCTTCAAAAAGACTGTCCTTGCAGTAAAAATGAAGGCTTCTAACGGACCAGATGTAATATTGATAGGATGCGAACCTTTCGTCTCGGGGCCTGCGAGAATTTTGTTAAGTGGAGCTTGAACAACAGCTGCATTTGGGATTGAATAGTAACAAAAGTTTACCATACCGAGAAAACGTCTGATTTCCTTGATGGTTTTCGGTAGGCAAAAAATCTTGAATAGCCTGCCCCTTCAAATCCAGTGGCTGTATTCCCGCTGCTGAACCCTTAAATCTTGGGAAGGTGACCTCAGACTGCCCCAATACACACTTGTTGGTGATTTTTAGATTGCCGTATTCCATCACTCTTTGGAAAGTTTTCTCTGTTAAAGTTGTGAACCAAGATATCGTTCAAGTATGCAAAACAGAATTCCAATCACCGCAGAACCTCGTCTGGTTTCTATTTCATAGTTCACATACGCCAGGCAAAGTGGGATATTATACTCTTTGGTCTTGTGCACAATTTGCCGAGGAGTGTGTATGAGGTCTACGGTAATACGGTACAGCCTCTTCAGAAACCGGCTTGTTTGGGAGGCTAGAAGTCTTCGAGTCTGCGTGCGAGACGATTCGTAATGACTTTCGTAAACAGCACTTAGATGAAGCTCAGAAGGAAAAGCGCTCTGCAGTTCTTCAGACCACATAAAATGCTGGAGAGTTTGAGCGGAATTCCGGAGGCCGTACGCTATGAACGTGATTTCATATAATACGAATGATGTCGTTATTGCAGAAACAGAAACGGGAACAGAAAGTTCTTACTCGATATAGATTATAAATAATACTTATTCAAAGTTACTTTTTTAAATTTACCATGGCTTCGGAAAATTATCTCTGTTCTGGGAAGAACCAGCAAGAAACCCAGCGGAACTATTTTTTAAAAATAACAGCTTACAATCATGTATCTTACAATTAACAACAAAACAAATTAGAAATAGCTTACTAGCGATCACTTTTCCCGGTTGCGGTTTGCGGTTATTATCATCTATAAATTCCTTGATATATAATAACCTTTTTTATACAAACTTAGCTTATTAAATTTTTTAAACTTTTAGCAGTTCAAATTTTGTATATTTTCTGGGATTTTGTTGAAGCGTATACATAGCCCCAAGAATGAATTACTGACTCGGTGGAGTCGACTAACTGGCACTACTAGCTTGTGTCTGTTCCTAGTATACGAGGGCGGCACTGAAAATTTCGGGAATCAAGGAAGTGACACAACATTACTATTTAAAAATGAATTTATTGCTTTTCGAAGTATTCTCCGCGAAATTTGACACATTTTTCCATACGATGGAACCAATCATTGAAGCAACCATTCCATTTGGAAGTTGGGTTCTCCAAAATTGCCGTTTTGTAGGCGTCCACAGCTTATTCAGGTGATGAAAATCTCTGTCCACGCAATTTATTCTTTATTTTAGGGAAAGTATAGAAATCATTAGTGCTTAGGTCGGGGCGGTACGGCGGATGGTCTAATA